CAGTCTGCAGCTATTTGAAATTGGATTAAAATTTAAGTTTCAGGCTCCTGGATCTCGGACACCGACACAGAAAGTGACATGATCGACTCATCACCCGATCCGATGGATTTCTTCATTGATGTCGAATCTGGAAACGGTGTGCCGGACTTTGACTACTACATCGATGTGGAGAACGGTGAACCGGATATGGTTGCATTGCCCAGAAGGAAATATGACCTGGATGATACGGAGGATGATGAGGAGATGGAGATCGAGTAAATTTTATCGCCTTTTTATCAAGGTCGTTTAATCCTGAATATTATCTTTCTATATCCACTTTTAAATCCCAAAACAAATTCTTGGTCGAATTTTTGTTTATTCTTAGTTAACCTGATAATGAATATTGTTAAATTCAAGCTTTGTTTGATCCATTTTGCCAAGAACTAGTTGTATTACGTCCCGCTAATTTTGCTGAGCTTTAGAATATAAATTCCTCTATTTTTAGATTGATATCATTGTTGTGCTGTGGTTTTTCTTGTAATTTCTCTCGAAACTGTGATCTCTCTCAATTGTGATTTTTGATCCGATGTGCATCTCCTGAATAAATTGTGTGTGGTGTAAATGGTCCCATTCACAAATACAGACAAATAAACTTAAAAACCTGTAAAATAGGTGGAAACAAGACGCAAAATATCAAAAGTGATGAAACTCCTTTCGCAACAAACTTTTATCGCTTTTCCGGAAGCTACCCGGGCAACCAGCTGGCGTTCGACACCTGACCGATTGAAATCAACACCTTACGCATTAGGCCAGAGTTCCGAGAGTTTTTCAAAAGATGGCGGGGCAAAGCCCATATAAAGGGTCCAGCAGACCTCTAATTTATTTTTCCTTGAACTTTTTAACAAACGGACGTTAACAGGGGCAATTTTAGGCTTTTCAGGATTTGTCTCATCCATTAGTGCGTTAAGATCGCTGCCATTTTCCTTACTTCTACGGTTTAAAGGATGGTAAGCCCTAATTTCCAATCATAAAGTATGAAAGAATCCTAAAATGTTTTTTATGTTAGCGTGCGATAAACAAAGCAATCGGAACTTTCAACGGGCCTTTGAAGATTGAAGAAGAAGGATGACTTTGAAGGTCTGAATTTATTTGGAATGGTGTTTTAAAAAGCAGAATTTTTGGAACTATGTTCTTAGAATCTCGACTAGCGAATTGGTGGGACGGATCTCCAGTTATTAAAGCTTCGGAACGACTACTACTAGCTGACGATTTTCAGAATATAACGTGATTAAAACTGCCGATTAAAACGATATTTTCTTAAATCAAAAAAATTCCCTAGATAGAGCATCGGCCTCTTCCTTTTTTAGCCATTTCAAGATTGAAATTGAAAATCCGCCGTGAAATCATCAACTTAAACTTTAATTCATGTATAAATGTTTTTAGTTGTACATTACTTTATTTTGAAAATCCGGCTACGCGTATTTTTAACGATTTCTCATACTGGTGAAAATTTGGTTCCGACCGGATAGAAGGTCGTTTTTGGGACCTCCATATTGGCTTTTTCAAAAAGGCAAGCCTCGGCATTATTTTTATCATCAAGCACTTTTCATCCTCGATCGTCCCTTACGCAATGTGATTCACACATCCGCTTCAAGACCCGGGAAAGCAAACAGTTCCGAAGAGCTTTATTGCAAAACTATAGCTTTTCTACGGTCGGTCCGGTTTAAAAACGATCACGAATGGGCAGAACGGTCAAACCGATCTTTCTTGCTCTCTCGTTCGATACCGTACTATTCCATACTTGTTGATTTTAGGTGTCGCCGACTATCTTCCAACTCTACCATGTCGTTCCAGTGCCACATGCCGGTAGGTTTTAGTAATATTAGGCTTGAGAGCGCACTGCGTATGCTTCCTTATACTTATACTTATACTTCCGATTTCAGAACGATGAGGCTTTCGCGGGCGAAGCAGACCAGAAAGGCAAGTTTTAACCTTTCCGAGAAGTGTTTTGCTTCCAATGTTGGCCATCATCCATCCAATCGGATTAAAATTCTTACCGGCGATGGGAATTCGTAAAAACGATTGACATCCGAAGTTTCTGTGCAAAATCATCCGGAATTAAAAAGTTATAGCCAAATGAATGTTGAATTTACCGATTTTACGGGGTGTTTGAATGATTTCGACCTCGACATGTTTCGCTAAAATGAATCGGGCACTGTTATCTATCTAGATAATTTTTTGTTTCACGAAAGTAGCGTTTATATCGGACATTTTTACCACGTTTCACCCTCAAAATCGTCAGTAACTAGCCCCAAAATGCCCAGTTGTCGCGACATTACCCAAAATCTGCATGCTAATCGCGAAAATATCTTCGAAAACACGTGTCAACATTAAAAAAACCGGATTGTCAGCTACAACTTTTGCGTTTTCTATTATTTGTCTTCGAAAATTCGTCCGCAAATGGTTTGTGTGGGTCCCGATCGCAGGTAAAAATTTGAACCCGGTCGGATAGAAGATGGCCAAATTCCAAGAGGGGTTTCTTGGGACACCCTTTAGATCAGGCGGTATCTAAAACTGGCAAAATTACGCTATGCAAAACAACGCGGAATCGAGCGCGTCTCGCCAAGAGCTAGCCGGACCGGTTTTTGACCAGCCTCGGTTCCATGTATGCCATAATTAACATGGGCCACCCTTATCCCATTAGGGCTCCTTTGTCGGGGTTAAATTATGCCTATGACTCCTCAATTTTTAGTGTACTCTACGCAGCCGTCTCGCTACTTCGTGACCCCGTCGTCCGACACCTTTGTCCCCCCAGGGTGGATCATAGAAGAACGGATCGTTACCAACTGTAACGGGCCCACCATCCCGTCGTTCCCGAGCTCTAACGGGGACGGCTGGTAAGGCCTGGACGATGCATTCCCGCTATGCCCAAAACCCCTCCGCTTCCGCTGCTAAATACGTCAATTTTTCTGTTGTTGGTACCGTTTGCCATATGTTACCACGTATTTGCTAAATTTGCTTCGCCCTCGAATAAACAATACCATCATTTACGTCGCAAGGTTCGTTCACGTCAAATTAAACAGTTAATCAACTGCTGCCAGTGTTCCCCTCTTTCGCCTACAAAGTTCGGAAGAAATTCAACATGTCAAAACCAAAATGCAAGCGTTTTACCCTTTTTTTTTGTTCCGGCAACATTTACCTGACAAGGGAACCACGTAGGGTAACGTGGCGTTTCGGCATGGGACCGGGCCTATTTTGGGCAGAATTTTTTGCTGATTCCGGATCCGGCTTTAATGTTTGCCAAATAGTTCGTTTTAGAAAGTTATAGCGTTTCAAAGTGACACTTTTTTTGGAAATTTGCTAACTTTAATGCCATTTATTTTGTCTTTCCTGGCAGATTCCTCAAAAATGAATATCGCCGTCGTATTCAAAAAATTTTTCTCTCTCGAATGAGCGGCTTAACTCAAAACCCTTGAAAATCGAAAAAATCGGCGATACTCGGTATGGACTTGGTTTTTTGTATAGGCAATGGTGAAAAACAAGTGTTTGTCGATAGGTAGTAGCGCACTAATGATATTACCATTCGAATCAGAAAAAATTTCTCGACAAGATGGTTGTTACAAATAAACTGCCCTATCCAAATCAAAAGTTGGGCATCGTGACACGGGCTCAAATATGACCTTAAAATCGCTATGACTTTTTTTGGATTGGGCTACTTGGCAAAAATGGAAAACAGGTTCGGAATCAAACCTCTGAACAAGATAAGCTTGGTCTCGAGTCTCACTGAAACGATCCTTTTCAGCGCGTAGCAGTCATTACCCTCGAGCCCTTTAAAATATTAATCGCCCAAACGTCCCAAAAATATCAGCGGCAAACATTGAATTACGCTTATATTTGGAGTTTGCGCACAAAAGATGAAACTGATGCGCTAAAATCATAATCTTACGCTCAGTTTTCGCCGCCTTTACCAAGATCCCCGATAAAAGGCCGGAGCCGAGGCATATCAGCAATGCGGCTTATTCGAAAACACCTAAAACCCCGATTTTGTCCTTGAATTCTTAATTACACAAGCTTTTAGGTTTGATTCTGTCTTCTGAGCAGCCAAAATCCCTCAATTTCTCGGCTTCTACGGTAGTAAATTCGCTAATGGCGAGCCACGGAGACCCAGACGATCGAGAGGGTATGAACTTTATTTCATACAAGTCTTCTATATTACAAATTGATACATCCTGATTTTTACATCCACGCGAAGAGGAGTCGGAGCCTTCTTCTGAAATCCGCGACTCCGATGCACAGACGAGCCCAAATGACGATGACGAACAGGATCCGGATGAGGAGGATTCGCCTTTCGAGGATTGATTGATGAACATTGAATCATTGGGTTAATTGTGTGCTTTATAAATTTTACTTTTAGTAATTTGTCGCATTCTCCTCAATCTTCAGAAGTTCGTACTCCGCTTTTTATGAAGTATACTGTAAAATTTTTATAACAACAAGAACATGGAAATGACATGTTTGATGTGCTTATTGTCATCACAAGAGAGCCTCCTCAAAAAGCCACAATAACGTGGCCCGATCGAGATAAGCGAAAATTCGCAAGCTCCGAAAGCGCGTAATCAGACACTTACTTCACTCCTCCTTTGACAGTGCCGCTGGAAGCCGCCATAACGATGGCCCAAATGGCCCTTGGAATTCGACTTACACGTTAAAAATAGGCGAATCGAGATAACACCGGGATAAAAGCCGCTGCTTGAGAGGCGCAAGAGCTGAACGCATCTTCGACGCGAATTCTTTCTTGCCTGCTACTTTTGTTTGCACTGGAAAAAGCTGTGGGATAAATGAACGCGGCGGGGCGGCGCCCAAACTACCGTACCCTTGTTAGAATTTTTCGTAAAGGCCTATTTTCCTCTCGACTTACCCAAGATTTGCTTCCCATTCACCGAACCCCGATTAAATTGATTTTTACAGATTACAGATTTACAGATACACAAGCTTCCATGAGTTCGCGATACGTTACGAAA